AGTAGGAAGGGAAAAATGAAGGGGAGGGAATCAGAGGGGGAGACAAACCATGAGAGACTATGGACTCTGAGAAACTGAGGGTTCTGGGAGCGGAGTGGGAGGATGGGTTAGCCTGGTGATGGGTATTAAATAGGGCATGTACTGAATGGAGCACTGGGTGTTATACGCAAACAATGAATCATGGAACAGCAAAAACTAATGATGTAATGTATGGTAATTACCATAACATAATAAAATTATTTAAAAAGTTTTCAAAAAAAAAGAAAGAATGTGTCAAAAGGACATAAAAACCTGATTGAAGACTACTGGCCAAATCTGAAATAATTTGAGCACTACAGTGATTATGAACATTGATGAATTTTTACCTACTGAAAACAGAATTCATGAGGCCACACCAGTAATAAACAGATAAATAAATTGGATGAGACAAAAAGGTATGTTAAATTATAATGCTAAACAATCAATGTGGAAGAAGAGCTGATGTTGAATATGATCATTTTGTAACCATCTTTCTAAAGACACATATAGGCAAGAATTGTTAAGTGGACTCCACAGTTCATTCAGATTTCATTAGGTTTCGTTAGAATTTTTATAGGAAGTATTTTCATAATCTCCCTACAGGTGACTTATTAACTGCAAAGGATAAATAAATATACTAAAGATATTGGACAACACCATGGCTGATCAAAATTAGTATCAGCTTTGAAGAGCAGATGGGCATCGTGTCTACATATAAAACTGTAAGAATTAAGACACATCACTTATTCCAAGTAGATACATAACCTGAATCTGATCATAAGGAAACAGTAGATAAATTCAAATGAGGATTATTTTATTTCAAAAGGAAAGGAGAAAAGGAGAGAAATGTATTCTTCAAAACTGTCAATGTCAAAAAAGACAAAGGAAGGCTGAGGAAATGTTTCAGATTAATAGCAACTAAGGAAATGAAATGTAATGCCTAATCCTAGACTAGATCCTGTATTAGAGGGAAAGAAATGCTATAAAACATATTACTTGGTCAATCAATGAAAGTGAAATATGGATGATAGGTTAAAATATTAGACCAATTCTAAGTTTCATACATTTGATAACTACTGTGGTTATATAAATAAGAAAATGTTCCTATTCTTAGGAAATACACAGTGAAGTATTTAGGGATGAAGGATCATGATGTATACAAATCATTCAGGAAAAAAAGTGTGTATTTAAGTGTACACATTTTATGTATATATTATATGTTTTATATATTATATATATAAGGAGTTGAGCAAATGATAAAACAAATGGGGCAAATGTTGATAGATATATTCAAGTAAGTTTTTTAAAAGAACATGTTCTTCATTTCATATATGACATATATGTGATAAGCTTGAGCCAACATCAGTGAAGCTTGAGCTTTGAAATGTTTTGCAAAAATAGTAACTCTCTCCCATGATGTCCTCTGTGACCACGAACTCATTGAAGGCTATTTTCGGAAAAGGGTAAAGCTAACTGTTCAAATATGAAAACTGATTTCTAATTATGATTTCACTAGTACCATTTGCTGGTATTAATAAAATTACTAATTTATAGAGTATACAAAACACATATCTGGGGGCACCTGGGTGGCTCAGTTGGTTAAGCGACTGCCTTCGGCTCAGGTTGCGATCTCAGGGTCCTGGGATCGAGCCCCGCATCTGGCTCCCTGCTCAGCGGGAAGCCAGCTTCTCCCTTTACCACACCCCCTGCTTGTGTTCCCTCTCTCGCTATCTCTGTGTCAAATAAATAAACAAAATCTTTAAAATACATAATTAAAAATTAAAAAACACATATTTGGCCTCTTCTTTAAGAGGTTTCTCTAGTTCAAATATTAAGAGCTCCAAAGTGATACTTAGTATGTAGGTCTATATTCATAATTCACATTACCGGCAATGAAAAGAGTTACCGTTAGTAAGTGCTATCTGAAACTACAACAAATTATAAAAAGTGATCCCCAGGGCACCTGGGTGGCTCAGTCAGTTGAGCATCCAACTCTTGATTTCAGCTCAGGTCTTGATCTCAAGGTTAAGAGTTCAAGCCCCACTTTCTTTTTTTTTTTTTTTTTCTTTTTAAGTGATCCTCTACTTCAAGTTACAATAAAATTCTTCCTGAAAACTGTCACAAGTTTTATGTTTTAATCTACTCTTAATATGATAAAACTATGTTATTCTGTAATCAGGGAGGAAGAGCTATTCCTAATGAGAATTTTTTCTAAATAATGCAAGGTCTATAATCCCATATTCCTTTAGCTATAATCCCATATTCCTTTAGGTGAAAATATCTCCAAGCCATGATGGTATGGTATTGTGTGGTAACTAGAACACTCCCTCCCAAAGATGTCACATCCTAATCCTCAGAACCCATGAATATGTTACCTTAAACGGCAAAGAGGAATTAAGGCTGCAGATGGAATTAAGGTTGCTAATCAGCTAACCTTAAAATAAAATCAACCTGGATTATCCACTGCACCCATATAATTACAAGGGTCCTTCAAAGTGTAACAAGGTGGCAGAAGAACAAGTCAGAGTAATGCACGATGTAAGAAGCCCCCAACCTGTGTTTGCTGGCTTTGAAGACAGAGGAAGGGGGCCACCAGCCAAGGAATACGGGAGGCCTCTAGAAGCTGATAAAGGCAAGGAAATGAATTGTCCCCTAGAGTCTTTCCTCCAGAAAGGAACGCACCCTGTCAACATCTTTACTTTACCCAAGTGAGACCCATATTGTTCACATCACTAAGTTTGTGGTAATTTATTACAGCAGCAGTACAAAATTAATATGTATGCTATTTTCTTTTCTCTTATAGAAAGTGCAATAAATGTAATTTAATCTTTAAAATCGAACAGAATCAAAATGGGAGTCAATTACTGTTTAAAGCAACAAACTATCTACTCCAACCTCCAAGCCTACACAAAGAAGATTCCCATATTCACCATTAGAATATAATATAGATTCCAAGTGATATTCTGACAACAGAGGTGTACTACTACCTATTACTCCACTTCATCTACTGTGAATGGCTCTGCTCTCATTACTCTCCACATTACTGACTATTCCTCAATCTCTATTACTCTTTCCCTCTTAGTTCCCCCTTTAATTCTTTCCTGTTATTTTTGCTCACACAATATCTCCTGAGCTTCTTGACTCAGTCATAAAGATTGGCTTTGAATGCACAAGGCTAGTCAATGCCTTTTTTCCTTGTCTGCAAATCTACCAATCAGCATATAATATTCTGCTCACCTCAGCTCTTTTCATTGTTGCTGAGTATTCAGTAGTTGTTTTCTAAGGACATTTCTCCCCCTATTTGCAATCTGAACCTTAAATTTTCCTGTAGAAGGTTATGTATATTTACTCCATCTGCAAACCTGAATGGGAAGCAGCAGAGACAATGATAGCATAGTCATACACATACCCTCACTGTTATAGACAGCTGTGATAAATGGCAATGTTAAGTGCAAATTCATTTTTTCCACACATAGGCAACCTCCCCCACCCCTGCTCTGTGCATTCTCAGTAAACATTCAAAGGACAGGGGAGAAAATAAGCTCTTAACTTCCTAGTGTGAAAGTTACAGGAAGAAGACAGAACTAAGCAAACAAAGTCAAGTTATACGTAGTATTAGAACAGATTAGAACACATATTTAATCTACAATTCACTTTCTTAAACCTTATCCACCTTCATCAAAGGCTTTCAAATATTTAAACAGTACAAATATTATTCAACTGAGAGCCAGAAGATGTCCAAAATTATGTCTTATTCATGCTTGCTTCCCTGCTGCCCGGAATTAAGTTTGTTTTCAAGTAATCTTTTTTTAACCTTATGACAAATTTGCATATAAGCTTAGATACACAGACATTGGCAATCTAAAACAAGACTTAACCAAGATCAGCAACACATAATCACAAAACTGAAATATTACAGTGTAATATTGTCTTTAAAATCTATGCTTTATATTGATTACATAAAACACTGTAGAGTTGTAGTATATGTACTATGGTTTTATATATACTTTTTATCCAACAACTCTCCTGGTAATTCTCGCTGACAATTTCCATGGCAAAGTATAAGCTGCACATAATGGAATCCTGGCTTATTTCCTTAATATATGAAAGACAATAAAATATGGTAAAGCCATATAACCTAAGAGTTATATAAAAATATGTTATACTTTGGAATATATTTATATGTACATATATAAATTTACTGAATAAATATTAAGATAACAATGAAGGAAATTAAACTCCTCCTATACTTTAACTGTTCACTTTCTGTTCATTCTCTTCAAGTCTTTCTTCATAAATATAACTTTAACATACATAAAATCATAGCACAGGGATAATTTGGTGTTCTTTTTTCTTTTAAAATTTTATCTTTTGAAGTCCTTTAAATATAACTAAGGTCCTAATTATATAAATCTACCATTTCAATTCCCTTCTAAGAAACCTGTAAGGAAAGAATCATTTTAGGCATTCTAATATTAATTTATAATATCTGAATTACATCTGAAAGGGTCAAAGATATAAAATAATTCATGAAAAAATAAAATATGATTTAAAAAAGCCTAATATGAAACAGAGTATCATCTCAAAATAACAAGTTACCATTTTTGGAGATTATATTTTTTCTAATTAAAGATTTCTAATTAAACTATTTAGGAAAAGCTTTAAAGTAATTTTAATCTTAAAAGAAGATCAATAATTGATACTGACTTCAGACTAAAATGTTTTCAATAATTCAAATAATATCTACCAAGACAAAATTGTTAACTACATGTAAATTGCCCTTTATTGAGTAAGAACTTGAATAACTAAACTTCTGCAATCAAAATATAGATATGTTTTTAAAATACACAGAGTATTACACTCACGAAATGAACTGCATCAGTTTCCACATAAAAGCTGAACTCCACACAGAAATTAAAATTGATGTCAGTTTACTTCTGAGAGCTTACTATATTTGGTAAACTGCTTCCTTTTTGATAACACAGTGGTTTCAGTTTTATATAAAGACTCATTATAAGCCACAATGTTTCCTAAGAATAAAATATGCAACATTTTATTAATTCCATTTTCATCTTCTATAAACAGTCATGGATATAACTACCAGTCACTTTAAAACCAGATTTAAATTTCAAGTATTTTTCCTATGGTTTACTACATATTCCTTTAGGAGTTTCCTAACCAGACTACCTGACATAGTTTACAATGCCATGATTGCTTAAAACTTGCATAAAGTGATGATAACAATTGTTATTTGGTCCTCCACGAATTTAGAAAAACAAAAACAAAACAAAAAACATGAGATAAAAATTGCTTTGTTTCTGCATTATCTGATCATGTCACAACATTTCAGAGTGGGGTACCAAGGTTTTATCCTCCTCTTCTGAAAATTAAGGGGGAAAAATGTAGCTTTGTTGTAGTATCGTGAGAAGACAAGAATTAGTAGATGTGCAATAGATATCCTCCTAGTTGTAGGAAAGCAGAACTTAAGGAACTATCATAGACAACCGCAGAGAGGGCATTAAAAAACAAAAAAGCATGGCACTGACAGGATACCAATAAAAATTTGATGGCTTTAAAACTGTCACCATCTTTGTAAGTCGTGCTTTGCCACTTCTTAGTTTTAGAATGAACTAAGCTTGTATACTCTATCTGTGCCTTGGTTTCTATATAGATAGGAACAGTAACAGAATATAACTCATTATAGATTTACTGAGAGGATTAAAACAAAGTGCTTAGCATACTGCCCTAACACAGAATAAGCAGCTCAGTATTATTCTTGTACAAATCTCATTTCAATTGAGTTTTAAGACTTTCAGAACTACCTCTAGACATCTCACACTGAAAACTTGACCTTGGTGATATGAAGAAATCTGTTTGAAAGAGGAGGGCCCAAAATTATTAATCAACCAACCAGTATTTATGGAGTATGTATTATGTATCTAGATCAAAGAAGATGATGGCAGCCTTTCAATAACTTCACATTAATAAGTTAATAAAGGGAGATGAATTCATGGATAATGACATAGGGGAGACAAGAGAAATGAAAACATATATTAAACTGTTTGAGATTGCTGGTAACTGGACTATCAGTTCAAAGAGAGCTCTCTCTGTGGGGCATTTCATGATAAATATAAGGAAGCTAACCTGGAAAGACAAAGATTTCAGATTGGGGGTTAGTGGGAAACAAAGTTGATTAGGTAGGGTTTTAAGGATTTTAAAGAATAATGACAATGACAGCCAGTTTTATTCTATTACTCCAAGTAAAAACCTGTCAAGGGAGCTAGAATAAAAGCATGTGTTTGATGGAATACTTGAACTACTGAATCCCTGAAAAGTTCCCCTTCCTTTCCTCGTTCTCTTCTTTCCAGAGATATTTATTATATACCTACTATCTAACAGGAAGTGTGTAAGGTGCTGGGAATAACAAATCATTAAGACGAGGACTACACCTGGTTTGATGAGAAAAACTCCAGTACAGATACTCTCAGAAGAAAACTAACCAAGCTTATTTTATCAGTACTACTTTTTCTTTTAAGTGAGGAGACTGTTTTCTCATTACAACTTAAAAGATTTTACAGTTTCAAGAGTGTATCAAATGAACATATTTATAACATTTTAGATATATATTCATATCAAAACCATGCATTCTTAAACTCTAACCTGAAAACTCCTGTCATTTAAAATATACCAAATGAAGGAGTTCAGGAACCTGAATATAGAGTTTAGGGACCTGAAAACCATTCTAGAACTGCACACGAGCTCTCAGTTTTATTTTTTTTAAAGATTTTATTTATTTGACAGAGAGAGAGAGAGCACAAGCAGGCAGAGTGGCAGGCAGAGGGAGAGGGAGAAGCAGACTCCCTGCTGAGTAGAGAGCCTGATGCAGGGTTCCATCCCAGAACCCTGGGATCATGACCTGAGCCAAAGGCAGCCACTTTAACTGACTGAGCCACCCAGGTGCCCTGAGTTCTCAGTTTTAAAATACCCTAGCAATTTTGCCAGATGCCAGAAAACAGTAACAACAAAAAATTAATCCCAGTTGGAAAAAAGGAAAGCAAGGATAATTCAGAAATAGATTTGGGCCAGAAGAATATAACTAATCTCTAAAAGATAATCCAAAATTTGTAAGAGCATGTAACCTTGGGCAAGTTATTCAACCTTCCCACATCTCAGTTTCTTCATCTGTAAAATGGTGATAATATATATCTATCTCAAGGGGCTGTTATGAGGACTTACGAGTTAATATAGGTAAAGCACTTAGAACAGTGCAGGCCCATAGTAAATGCCTCACACGTACTATATTATTATAAAAGCATCTCTCTAATATCTGGCTAATGAACAACATGTCCTGACAGAAGTAACAATAGCTCTAAAAAAGAGAAAATGTTCAAAGGCAGCACAAGAGAAGGATAAGAAGGTCACAGAATTGTGTTAGTGACATAAGTGTGCTTAAGAAAAAAAGAGGTAAAACAAAGGTCACAAAAATATGTTTAGTTTTAAATACATGGAAAGAGAAAAAGATATTCTATATCTAGAAAAACAATTATATTCTATATGTAACAAAATTTAGGTTACTTCCAATCACTTTACATTACCCTAACAAAAGTTATATTGATAATAAAGAGTATACTTCATGTGATATAGAATTTGGAACCCCATCAATGATTTGTTCAGCTTGCATAAGTCACAACTGATTGGACACAGTCCCTGTGGGCATGCCATTTCATCCAGACTGGATGGTTCATTAGTCATAATTACTATAACTGTACAGCAGAGACTGCAGTTTTATCTCATCATACATCTTTGATCAAGCTGCTTCAATTTCTGCTTCATCAGCATATGAAGTTACATTATTGGAGTTTTTTATTTTCAATCGGTGATTAACACAGATTATGCTTTTTATCAAAACATGTATTTGGTCTTCACATTTAATAGTGAGGGCTCAGATCTGACCATCATTTGACCTCTGATATTTCAAAACCACCTAAACACCATGAATCATCAACTGAAACCCAGAATGTTACAGAGAAAATTAAACAAAGGGAAGAACTGACCTGTGTTAAAAGCCTAAGATGATTGCACTTATCTAAATTGAGACTAACCATATTTGCAGCAGCTTCTCATTAAACATTAAATTGCACACCAGAACACATCATACATATTTATTGTTTTGCACTGTCACTTTCAAAAGACTCATACCACAATTAGTGTTTCTCTCAAACTATAAGCTACATAAAGAAATTTCCCATGAAGCTTGAAGACAAAGTAATGTAGAAGATTGTACAAGGTTAAAGAACAGATGGATAATAGATTTCACTGAACACTAAAGCATAACACACTTACTTCAGTAAGGAAAATGTTGCCAAAACATGGTTCAAATGCAAAATACTGAATGAAATTGATGTGTCAGGAATTTTTTTTTCTTCTAAGTTCTATTGAAGAACAATAGGGGACTAAATGACCTGTCTCACTATTTTTGTGCCTCGGTATTTTCATGTGTAAAGTGTTCCCACTGTAGGCTGCATGAACAATCATAATCGACAGTTACATGCAGGCATTGAGGCTGCAAAAATCCCAAAGTAATTAGTGTTGTCTGAATGCAATGACATCTGTGTTCTCATGGTTCTCAAGACATGTCAGGCCAATAAGATGTATATGAAAAAATATGACAAGCATTGCAAATGCCCTTCTGAAAGGTCTTACACTTTGGGGAAAAGCTGAAGAAATAACACATGTCATCTTTTTGTAAGCAATATATTTAATATTAAAAGACCTAAAAAGATCTTTTGAGTCGTTCATTTTCTTTTTGCAACTATAAAGTATTTATTCAGCATACCACAATGCAGCGTGAAAAAATACTGCAAGTCTGTCTCTTTAAAACTTTCTTAACACAAATGATTCTGTGCAGTGGCAATGTACATGCCCATTCCTTAAGTAACAAAACAGAGAGCACATCTTATTAACACTGCTTGATTTCTTTACATTTTAATTTTAAAATGATATCTCTTGGTACTGGACATGAAATAGTTTAAAATGTGTTGTTAAATGCTTTAGAATTATGTTTGCATTTTTCTAATAATAGAGACTGCCAAACTAATTGCATTAAAGCCTTTGTTTTAGAATACCTAATGCTTTTGCTGAGTGGTGCCTATTGCTGAGCCCTCTCTCTAGGCTGTAGCACTATGTTGGAGCATGCACTTGCTCCAAGAAAGACATTAGTCATCATTAACAGAAGCACTGACACCAAATCTAAGTGCCTCTCCACAATGACCAAGTGGCAATCATCTTTCTCTTAGACTGTCACTGCTGATTAGGATTTTCTTTCATGAAAATTTAATTTGTCCCCCTTTCTTCAGCTTATTTTTTTTTAATTCCTAAAAAAAACCACTATATCCAGGAAGGATTGCAAATACAGCAAAAGAAGCTATACCCATAACACAGGCTAACAATATAAAGATTACAAGATTCTCAGCCAAATCTTTTATCTAATCCAACAGAAAAACACAGATTAAGTGAATGATTACTAAACAACAGGGAAAAACAATGATTCTAAAAGGAATCTAGCTTTAAGAAACTATAAGCCTCAAAAGGTGAATAATTCAAGAGATCTGAATGAAATTTTTCTAACAATTGATTACATAATCCCAAACCTTCTTTGAAACTAAGACCACAATATTTTAATAGTAGCCATGTTTCACTGCATTTCAAATTTGTATTCTCTATATCTGAAAAAAAGAAGACGGGTATCCACAGACATGTCACTTCAAACTTAAGAAAATATTTAAGCATCCATTCCCTCAGTGTGCATTAACCTTCTGATTAAAGGAAAAGAAAAAAGGAATTTTCAGTGGCATTGGACGAATGAAAATGATTCATGTGGTCACGCAGGGTACTCCACAGCTAGATGATACTACAGACTTGAACTCTGGTTCTGTACAATATCACAGTGTTAAACAAGATATCATAGCGATAAGTTATTTAAGGAACTTTTAA